ATCCAGCCGCGGCTCCTCTGCCCCGCCCCCTGCCTCCTCTTCATTGCAGGCTGGGAGCCTTACCCAGCCTGCTATTGTAAAATGCAATAGCCAATACCCACCCACTCCCTGCTGTCAATCAGCATGGGGGGGACCTCATAGAGAACTTTCTCCTTCAGGCCCCTCCTCTGCTGTGCCCTGATTGGGCAAAGTCTTGCACCTGACCTGTGGTCAGGTGCAAGACTTTAACAAATCAGAGCTTCAGTGGGCATTTTGCATTAAGGAATGTCCTCGGTCGAACAAACCGCACACACCCCATAAAGTTCGGCGAGCGCTCGAACTGCTGATGTTCGAATCGAACACTCGGCTCATCCCTAATCACTAAGGGTTTGTTTCCAGGAAGAGCACTTTAGGGTAACAGGAAGTAAAAGGAAATCTCTCCAAGATAAAGGCAGCCCCTGCTTCCCATGGGAATTCCCAATAACTTCCCTTTCTCACCGTACAATACAATGACAGCTCCCACTGACCGCAGATGTTCACATGTAATTGCGCAGGCTGCGACTATCTGCAGGCAGCTGTAACTGGATGCAAACAGTCCGCACCCAAGTGTGGTTGCCCTCAGGTAATCAGACTGCGCGATTACATTCGAACAGCTGCGGATGGCGGCAGCTGTCATTGTATTGTACAGCATCCCTCATAGCGGATCGCATACGTTTTACAAAGAAATGTATGAGACTCATGTAAACGGCCATTTGCAGGGGTGAGGGGGGACGCAGACGGCTGGAACATGTTTAACTTATCTAGGTATGCCAAGACTGTATTTATTTTATTAGTGCCATTTATAAAGTACTGACAATTCACACACTGCTTTACATAGTGCACATTCAAATCAGTGCTCGAACCTCGGTCTTTCTTACAGCTCTGAGAACCGTCACCTCTGAGGGCAGGGGCCCCAACAAGTACGTATATTGTTTTGTATACGTTTAGCCTGTCTGAATTCAGCACTGTAACTGCAGACAAAGAGTGAGTAGCTGCTGCATGTAGAAATTGGTTTCTTCACTGGCAGTACCTCTAAATGATTACTATGATGCAATGCACTCATGTAGTCATAGTAGATCACAAACTGCTAGACCCAGATATCCGATTAGCAGTGTAAAGGGTTTAGGCCTCCCGGCCAGGACTGAAAAAAAGAAAGGCATCTAAGATCCCTCTGCCTATGTGAGCAATCTGCTTTCCACCATAGGTTGTGTAGAATCATATGGGAATGGGGAGACAGGTAGGGTTTTGGTAAACAACTGCACTGGCTGCTTGCTGCTCACACTGTTCTCCAGTTATTACATGAGTATAATAATAAGATAAGTCCTGATATCAACAATATTGAACCAAACAGGTATTTGGAAGAGATGAATGCCTCGTCTACAGTTAGGCCTCCTTCACACCAGACAGTGCGTTCCGGCCCGAACTCACTGCAGCCGGCTCACTTTGTCGGGCAGGAGGGGGCGTGGCAGGCCATTGAAGTGAATGGCACCTTAGCCACACCCTCCGGCCGCAAGGCACATTATGCCTGCAGTCCGGTGCAATCAAAATAGTGCTTGCAGAAAACTTGCCATGCACCCTAGAGGAAGTCACCCGAGAGATGATGTCTTCCTTGCTAATGGAGCGGGGCAGTTACTCGGTGTCAATGACAGTAGAGGGATTGGCTGTCTCATTAGCTATTGAACAGTGTTGTCACCCTGCACCAGCAATCAGGATACGAGGGTCAGCCGCAGGATCACATATTTGGGATAACTTGCAAAGGAATGTTTATGATTTTAGTCTGGAGAGACATTATAAAGTCGCCCTGTGTTGTGCCCCTGTAAACAGAAAGGTTTACATTGATGCCGGCCTCTGCTGCTGATTAGAATTCCTCCCGATTGCTTGGCTCACACATGGGAGTGATGAAAGGTGTGACTTGTGACCGTGTTTGGGGCCTAAGCTGCCCGTCACCAATGCAGTCTCATTCTCCCCCCCCCATTCGGGTCTCCTTCCCCCCCCCCCCCCCGACAAGAATGACGATACTATCTGCACGTGTGTGGATGAGCCAACATATTGCCCTGAGATCTCACAATAGAGGCCTTTTTAAAGCAGAGGCCACCATCCTCTCTGGATTGGACATCACAGTTTTCACATTCATAAAATGCAAGGCACAATGAGACGCCTGCCATGTGAAAGGAATTATTTGCTTAAAAGGAGAACTATGAGCGGGGTGCTTTTCACTCACCTCATAGCTCTAGCCGACCTGTGACAATGAGACTGTCACAGGTCGGCTCAGTAGATCGGGAGGTGAGTGAACACATACCGGCGTTCGCTCACCTCTCGATCCTGTCACGGGAGGGACTGGATTCCCCCCCTCCGCCAGCGCTGACTGGCGGATCAGACAGTGGAGGGTACAGCTGGCTCTGCCTCTAGATAGGCAGAGCCAGATGTCCGTTACGCAGCTGGGCGGATCCCGGCACAATTGTCAGGATCCGCTTCAGCGTCTCAGTATACCACGAGCAGTAGCTCCCTATATACTGAGCTTACGGTGACGGGAGGATGCTAGTTTGTATCCTCCCATTACCCTAAGGAACACTATGTGGAAAAGCCTTAACCCCATAGTTCTCCTTTAACACTAGAAAGAACTGATTGGAGGAATGGCCGGTCACATGATGGAGCCCTCCTCCCAATTTTGTATTCATTTGAATGGTACTCTGCTTGCTGCAGAATCCCACCACAAGCAGATAGTAATGCGCATTTGTACTTCTGTGCTTTAGGGATTCATTTTTAAAGCAGCATTATGGCTTTGCCGGTGTCATACCAAAGCTTCAAAATAGAGCTCAGAAGGCGAAGGGAGGTCTAGCTTTCTGACCAAGAAAATGTTTATCTGCAGGAAGCTCTACAGCAGGCTTTCCCAAATGTGAGACGTTGACTAGGGTTTGGCTTGGATGAATTGTTGCAGAGTCAATATATCCAGCCAATGGTGCCTTCAATGGAGGTTGCTAACCCTTTACAACCAGATGCATGGATAACCAAAAGGTACTCCCCAAAGATCTGCCTCCTGACATTCTAGAAGAGCAGCACAGGATAAGAGGAGCCGTTCACAAAGATAAGCGTGCAAGTCATTAGGGCTACTCTAGGCAAATAATGAAGAAAGTGTAAAATTCTATTACTAGTATTGCTTGGCATTTAAAAAAGGCTGCGAGGGTCAGTTGACTCAAGTCTCTACAAAGCGGATGAAAGGCATCAGAGCACCCCGGGGTCTTACATGAAACCTCTAATTCAGCTTCCGATGCAAGTGGTGACTGTTTTCACATTCTCCCGTGTGAATTGTCAGCTTAAGCAGGATATCCAACACAAATTAGTGTTACATAATTTATGTGTAGTCAATACAGAATAGGCAGAACAGTGGCTTGGTAGTTAGTACTTCTGCCTTGTAGCACTGGGGGTCCCCGGTTCAGCATGGAGTTTGCATGTCCTCCCTGTGCTTGCGTGGATTTCCTCCCAGTACTCCTGTTACCTCCCACACTACAAAGACACGCTGGAAGGTTAATTGGCTCCGGTCTAAGTTGGCCTTGTATGCGTATGCAATAGGGACCTTAGATTGTAGCCCTAAGGGCAGGGACTGATGTGAATGTAGTATGTAAAGTGCTGTGTAAATTGTCCGTAACACAGATACCAATATTAAATCAAATAAAAACACAAAGCACTGGGCGCTAAATATCAAACAACTGACAGGAGAATTGAAAATAAGTGCAGCTCACATCTCTGGAAATAGTACAGTTCAATCTATGCACTGGTTATATCTACAGCTCACTAACAGAGAAAGCTGCACAACAGATTCAGAGGTTCCACTGGCAGGGATGTCCAAACTCCGGCCCTCCAGCTGTGGAGCAACTACAAATCCCATGAAGCATCTCTCTCCGGGAGTCATGTCTGTGAGAATCTTGCAAAGCCTCATGGGATTCGTAGTTCCACCACAGCTGGAGGGCCGGAGTTTGGACATCCCTGCTTTACAGGTATAAATGGAAGGCTGCTGTGCAGGGTTGAATACAGCAAGTACCAAACAGCTCTAGGTGTCTGCTCTTCACAATGCAGACATCACATTTCACCAAATATCAGTCTGGAGACCTGGAATACACACCAGATATCTGCACTGCCAAAGCTTAAACACTAGATCCATAAATGACAGTTCTCCCCTTTCCAGAAGTTAAATATACTGTACCTGGAAGCAGTCGGGAATATAATTAGTAGTTTTGTTGTGTAACGGTTGCTGTGAAGCAGAAGAGATAACAGGACACAAGATACAGAATGGAAGTTTAATCATTGTTTCAAACAGCATTTATGCTACCAGCACACAAGCACCGCCGACACCTTTAATCTTCTCCTCGGCGCGTCTGCTGAAGAACTTGGCTTTTACAATGACTGGCTGCTTGGGGAGCTTCCCTTTGCCGAGCACCTTGTAATAACCCTGCCGAGAGAGATCAATACAGTAAAGAGTCAGCTGAGTCCTGCCACCAAAACTAGATTTATCAATGTCCCTAAAATGTGTGCACGCCATTCATTATCTGCAGAATATTTACAGTTCCAAAATCTTTCTACACCAAAAAAGGTGCAGACAGTAAAGAACCCCTCGCCCCCCAGCCTCAAATAGCTGTAATGAAACTGTAAACACTTAGTGGCCATGCTTAACAAGAAAAAGCTCATTAAATTATAAGGACAGACAATGTATCAATTATTGGAGTGAGTTTACAAAGTGACTTGCTGAGCTCTTTAGAATACATCAGACGTTCACAAATGTATAAAAAATAACTTAAAGGGCTCATTCAGACGAACGCCCCCGCAAGACGGCTCGATCGCGGAAGGGGTGTTGCATGTCATTACACACAGCAGCTTGTTCTTCTCTGTGGATGTGACTGCACGCAATTACACTGTCACACGCACACCCAAACCTGCGTGTGGGCCTGGGTGTCAGCACTGAAAAAGACAGTGTGCATCCAAGTGCGGCCACCTGGACACACATGTGCAGGTTCATGCGTGCGTGTGGCGAGTAATTGCATGCAGCCACGTCCTCACAATTAGACGCAGCACCTCTCCCTTCCGGGATCAGGTCTTCTTACAGGCATGCACACAGATCTGAAGGAGCCCAAAGACTTCAACCATCTTTTGGGCCATGTTTCACCTATATTGAGAGTGTAACGTGAAACACTGTCACATTCCCCAACAAACAACCCAACCCCCCCCCTAAATCATAAGGTACTTCTGCCTGGGGGAATCCTGCTGTGGCTCTGATTGGACAGCCACATAAATCAAGGTACTGGATCCATTAATGGCAAATACTACCAACACCACAGCAGAAGGACCCAGCAGAGTCACCACAATTGTGGTCCAGCTGCACTTCCTGCAACCCCATAAATAGCCGGACCTGATGCTGGAGTAAACACTGGAAGAGCCTGTGCACTGAACACACTGATAACGGGTGCAATGCTCTGCAGGCTTCAATGCAAAAAAATGAAAATGCACATTGGCGAGATCAGTGTTGCTGCATTTGGTGCCTTTTTGCAGAAGGTGAACCGTCACTTTCTATACATTTTGTGGAGATCTGGAGATTCGGCATCACTCGCAGTTGGCTTTTATTGTCTGTCTGATAGGTTACTATGAGCAGAAATATTTTCCCTTGGTTTATATAAATGTAAAACAAATGCTGCAGATCTGTAACTGCACCCCACCCTTCCCCCCCCTCCAATAAATGAGAAAACACTTACAGCGTGCACTGCGTCAATGACTGGTGCTGGTCCGTCGGGGTTCTTGGAGTGGTTCAGTCTTGTCTGCTCACTGACCAAAGTCCACAGTTTGTCCAAGTTAATTGTGGGACAAAAATGCTGATTCTTCTTCAAGTGGTAATGCCTCATGCCGACCTTACCGAAGTAACCAGGATGGCTGAAAAACAAATTACATCTCATACCGCTACCAAAACACCGGACGAGGGGACAGTCTGGCACCAGACGGCACGGGCATATTGGCAGTGATTGATTGGTAGTTCCCTGCACCCAGAAACCTGGATGGGGACTTATGGGAGCATATCTTGCTTTACAAGAGAAAGAAAGCTATGCAGGACAGGTTATAGGGGGATGGGGCAGGGTTCATGTTCTGCCCAGAGATGAGCTTTAAATTTTTCATGCACCCAACTACTGGAGGCATGAGGACTATATACAGCAAGCAGTGCCCACAGAAAAGGGATGCTCCCTACTGCCAGAGACGTTACACCACCAATTTACATTTAAAATCATGTTAACAGAGGTCTGAGTATCACTGATATTAATGATTAGGAAGTCCCCCGTGTATGAAGACATGAAGGTAGAAAATGTAATCGCACTCACTATTTATCAAAGTTGATTCTGTGATGATGCATACCACCGGCATTACCGCGACCACCGGGATGCTTCCTGTGTTTGCCTAGAAGGAGGAAAGACAGTAAAATTTATGAACGATACCACCAAATTCTCCAAGTTACACTATCTATGTAGAGTGCTGAAAATTGCCCCCATGGTCAGGAACTTAGAAACATGTCAATTCGTATTAGTAATACAAAAAAGGTAGCACGAGACGCTCCTGCACGAGATACTACAGCAGTAATAAGCGGCATTAATTATTCACGCCTTCATTCCTCTCCATCAAAGCGGAGCAGTGGGCAATGTCGCTGTACCGGTGACTGGTCGAGCTACATGAAGAACCAACCAGTGAATAAAGAACAGCAATCGCTCTACGAGGACTTTAGCACACCAAGGCCACTGGGGGTGCGGAGGTGTGACTCTAAGTCTCGACAAGACATCGGGCGGGAGAAGCAGACAAACTGACATTTTATTTTTAACACACAAAGGATTACAAAGCTTTGAAAGTCCCATCAGGAAACAGCCTCGTGTGTGATGTGTTCCGGGTCTTCTCACCCCCTATATCCAGCCTCCTGCCCACCGAACAGTGCCTAATGACCCTTTATGTGGGCGGGAATAAAGACCTCCATCCTATCTGCATTGCTGCAACTGATCTGACACAAGAGCCAGTTCACCTCTAGATGCATGTAACTAAATTAGGTCTCCACAGAACCCCAAATCCCTACCGAGACCCAACACTCTTTACAAGCAGCATTTTATCCTCCTCTCTCTATTCCCTACCACCACCTGATGAGGGGCTGAAAGACGGGAAGGGACACGGTTACCCCCTCTCTCCTTGTTATAGATTTGTGTCAAGTCTGTGTCAAGATTTGTTATTTCATCATTTCTATTATATAAAACTGTTCAATAAAGTTGTTAAAAAATAATCGCCTATACAGGCAGGAAAAACCCCCGATGCCCACAGGAGCCCCGAACCCCCGGTGCCCACAGTGCCCACAGGAACCCCAAACCTCCAGTGCCCACAGGAACCCCAAACCTCCAGTGCAGATGGAGAGATCTCAGGTGATCTATACCTCACTCTGGGCTTTTCAGATAGTAGGCAAATTAAAGGACAACTGATATGGCCCAGCCAGAGCTCCCACGACCCAACATTGATGAGCTATTCCTGCAGCACCATGCACAGGATCTGGTCTATAGCAGGCGAGCTGTATAGCAGTTGAGGATTGGCAGCCTTTTGCACACAATAGGAACCTTGGCTGTGACAAGACTAAACTGACAGGTCACCTCTGCAGTCTGTCCGTTCATTCTTACCACCCGTGACAAGATTCGTAAACTAGATGTACCAAGCTGAAGTACTGTGATAACACATCCTGGGATTCGTCATATTGTGATTCTTGACCAGTACAGGATCATATGGAAGGCCAGAAGGATAAGTCATCAGAAGCAATCCTCCTCCAGTCTGTGCCAGGATACCTAGAATCTCATTGGATGTAACGGGAATCCACATCCTTACTTCCAGTCACACAATAAACAGCAATTATATGGTAAAGTCAAAACAAATCATTACCAAAGTAAATTTTACTTATGGGCAGTTATGACCCGAAGGCCAAACTATCCCCTGACTTTCGATATCTGTAAAGGGAAGCATAGCTGTATTATCAGCATCCCTATCTCCTGCGGCCTGCCATTGGGTGCCCTCGCCTCTCCTATAGAACGTGCCATCAACAAATTAAAGACAGGCACACAGGGACCCCTTGTAACCGTCACAGACCCCAGGACACCTCATACAATCCTGTACATTGGCGATTTAACATACTAGCATTTGAAAGGGAACTGGCTCTTGAAGTGTAACATTTCACTCACCAACACGACCATGGCCGTGACTGACGTGTCCACGGAGCTTCCTCGTCTTTCTTAGTTTGCTGGGCTGTTCAAAAACAAAATCACAATGATCAGTACAACGCCAACCCCTCACTTCCTGTATCCCCCGACCCCACACTGCCTGTATCCCCCGACCCCCCAGGACATTCCATGGTATCAGATGTCGCTGTACCGGTGACTGGTCGAGCTACACGAAGAACCAACCAGTGAATAAAGATCAGCAATCGCTCTACGAGGACTTTAGCACACCAAGGCCACTGAGAGTGCGGAGGTGTGACTCTAAGTCTCGAGTAACCAGACGCAACATGATGGCGGCAACATTGGTGGAGATCCACAGACAACATACAACTAATTTACGTTACAGGACACGTCAGGGGTAGGCAACCTCCGCACTGCGGCTGGAGTAAAACTACAAATCCTTTCATTCCCCTGGAGTCATGGCTGTCAGTCACTTGCAATGCCTCATGGGAGTTGTAGTTCCACAACAGCTGGAGTGCCGAGGTTGCCCATCCCTGCATTATGTGCACAGGGAAAGAACTCCAGCTCAAACTCTGGACTGTCCCACAATGTGGAGCATTCTGGACTCGTCAGGTTATTATTGTGTCCCCATATGAATGATGATCACTGTGGTCTGTTTACATTACGTTCCCCACACACAGGTCAAGTTTCAGTGCAGATTAAAGGACGGGTCTACCTATAAACAAAGAGCAGCCCCCGGCCTCGGCATGCGTGACTGAAGCTGGATCCTCATGTGCAGTAAATGCAGTTGGGTTGACATGTCTGTCCCGGCCGCTCCTGCGCATTACAATCCTGCAGACGTCTCCGGGGCTGAGGTCAGACACAGGGCGACAACCCGCAACATGCTGGGGCTCATTTAAATGCAGCATTTTGCTGAAGTCCCAATGTAAAATGCAGGGCCCAGCCGGGAGCAAAATCCAGAGGTCCATGTTGTCCAAACACTACACATTACAGGAAATGAAGCCTACTGGTTGCTAGGATGCCAGTGATGTACACCTGCACCCTGGCAACAAGGGAGGCAAGGCACCAACACCTGTTACACCCTAGCAACAAGGGATGCCAGGCACCAACAGCTGCATGCGCCCTAGCAACAAGGGGCGCCTGGCACCAACAGCTGCCTACGCCCTAGCAACAAGGGACGCCTGGCACCAACAGCTGCCTACGCCCTAGCAACAAGGGATGCCTGGCACCAACAGCTGCCTACGCCCTAGCAACAAGGGATGCCAGGAACCAACAGCTGCCTACACCCTAGCAACAAGGGATGCCAGGCACCAACAGCTGCATGCGCCCTAGAAATGGACGGCCAGGCACCAACAGCTACCTGCACCCTAGCAACAAGGCACGGCCAGGCACCAACAGTTACCTGCACCCTAGCAACAAGGGACACTAGACTGCTCCTGAATCCTACCTTGCTAGGACCTTTGCAGATTTCATACATTTGCACTGTATACATGTAAACATCAGCACATCATTTACATGCGTACAGTGTAAAATGTGGTCAATGCACAGGACCGTACACGCAGATTTTACTAGTTTGGAATTAGGGATCTGAATGCAATGCGTGATCTTTACACATACGTGTGCACAGGGCCATACATGTCATAGGATACATCCCATTAATGGGTGACACGGCTGTGCATTTTCAGAGAGGGATGCACAATCGGTGTCACCGCATTTCAGGAACCTAGGCCGGATTCAGCAGCTCGTATAGCTTTCTATATATACTAGGCCAGGACACCTGGAAATCAAATGTCTACTTCTAATTTTGGAATAGGAAATGGTTACAATCCATCTGCATGCCAGTGTGGAGAGGCCCCTTCATTTCCTGTCCCATAGACACAAAAGGAAGTGAGAGGAAGTCTCCTTAGATTGAGGGAAATGCTCTCAGACTGTTGTCATGGGAACAAGGGCCCAAATTGGAGGATTTTTCTTCCAATACCAGTTCTGGTGACAACTCGGTTTTGGGCCTGTCATTTCCTGTCTCAGCGACAAAGCTGACAGTCAGGGGGTGAATCGCTCCTGTGGGGACACAGTAATAACCTGACAGTCAAATCCTTCACCTCTCCATCCAAAACTAAACGTGACTCTTATGGTTGCCTTCAATGTTGTAGTCTCCAATAATGAGGGGGGGGGGATGCCCTATGCCATGTCACAATAGACACCTACACTTCCATTGAAGCTGCTTCGGGGCCCAGTCACACGGGAATGACATAGAAGATGCCGCCACAGAGAATCAGGTGCCTCTATTAGCCAATCAGGTGTCAGTCTGGTTGCCATAGGTGACCCCTCCGCTCCTCACACGCCGGCCCGAGGAGGGACATGTGTCTATGGCCGCTGATAGAGCACATGGCCGGCTCCCCCTCCGGGCCTATAAAACCCCACACATCCAGCTCAGAACCACCCAGAACCCTTCCTGTACACCCAGGCCTTCTTCCCAGCCTCCCCCCGGCCCGCCGCAGCCTTTTTTTCCCGGTCCCTCACACGACGCTCCGCTCCCCACTACCTACCATGGCGGCGGCTGCGAGAGAAAGAGAGAGATCCCGGCGAGTCTCGCGAGAACTTACAGCCCCGCGCACGCGCTTCCGGTCCGATGACGCGAGGGGTGAGATCTCACGGGAGCAAGAGCGGAAGTTCTCGCGAGAAGAGCGGGACGCGGACACTAGGGCGAGCGCGGTGAGACTGGCGGCTCCGGGCGGCGGACATTTTGTGGAGGACACGTGATCTGGTAGAGTGGAGATGTGTAGTGACTTTTGTGCTGGTGCCCCTGGGGGCCACTTCTCAGAGCGGGGGCACCCCGACTGTTTGTATGTGTGTGTGTGTGAGTAGGAATGCCCCAGAGGAATTACACAGAGCTGAGCTGTGATGAGCCCCACGGGGCAGAAACCCATAGCAACCAATCAGTGAAGCCATGGGGGCCTGTGCTGGGCGGGTTGCTGCACTAAAAGGGCATCATTTTTCAGTTTTGGGTGGAGCAGGGGAAGATTAAATCCCCCTCTGAGGTCATTATTGCTGCCTGTGTCCCCGCTGGGGGGGGATGAGCCTTTCTGGTGACCGTAGCCACTGAGACAGGAAGTGAGAGGGAAGGCAATATGTTACAGTTGTCATAGTAACGGGCATAGAGGGAGAATCTTCCGATTTCCTTCACTTTGCAAGGATTACCTCTCACTTCCTGTTGTGCACCTAGGACAGGAAGTGAAGGACACCAACTGCCCAAAAAATTATCTGACCGGGGTTTCAGCTCTTCCCTAATCCATCCAAAACTGAGAGCTCGGACAAGGAGATTTCCTCTCACTTCCTGTTTCATCCCCGGGACAAATAAAGGAAAGTCTACCCAATGCCCAAAAAAGAGTTTTACCCAATGCGGCCACCAGGGGTGGAAAAGTCTGCGGGCCCTGGTCTTGCTGCGGCCACCAGGGGTGGAAGAGTCTGCGGGCCCTGGTCTTCCTGTGGCCACCATGGGTGGAAGAGTCTGCGGGCCCTGGTCTTGCTGCAGCCATGGGTGGAAGAGTCTGCTGGCCCTGGTCCTGCTGCCAGCGGGAGGGGGGGGATCCGATCAGAAGACCTTCACAGAATCCCTCTAGACCCTGGGGTGGGCAACTCCGGCTGTTGTGGAACTACAAGCCCCATGAGGCATTCCAAGAACCTGACAGCTGCAGGCATGGCTCCCGAAGGCAGAGGCATGCTGGGATATGTAGTTAAAGCACAGCTGGAAAGGGAGGGCTGGAGTTGCCCCCCCCATCCCCTGCTCTAGACATCCCAATCCCCGCAGCGCGCTGATTGGCTGCCACCAACACATTAAACCCAGATGAAAGGGCGTCCTTGACCCCTGAAACGCGCTGGCTGAACTTTTGGACTCTGGTCGGATAAGAGCACTTTAAAACAAAGTGCACTGATCCTTCTTGCTCCCTCCT